CATTTACTTTTTAGTGCATTTCGAAGTCGGCGTATTTTTTTTCTTAAAATTATTTTATATATTATACTTTTATAGATCCTTTAATGTAACCCTTTAATGACCTTTTAATTTTAGACCTTTTAATGTTTTCGGGAACTTACGTGCGTGGAACATCTGTCAAATTTCTTACTCCAGTTTCAGTTATAAGCACATCATCTTCAATCCTAACACCACCCCAACCACGAAATCTTTTCAATACTTCAGTAACGATAAATTTTGATTGATTCGAATTTTTTAAGGCCGCATCTAGCAACTAAAAAAATAAAAATTTCTTATGTATGAAAATACTAATTGGAGTTTATGATCTTATTTATATTTAAATCGTCTTTACATTTAAATGTTAATTTAAGGTCAAATGAAACACAATCTGCTAACTTACGGAATCAATGAAATAGCAACCTGGTTCAATTGTCAAAACCATACCAGGTTGCAAAATACGGCCAGTTCTTAATTTTCTTAATCCCGGAGCGGTAGAACGTTCTGGATAACCTGGGAGATATCCACCGACATCATGAACATCTAAGCCCATTAGGTGTCCAAGTCCATGAGGTTGAAAAACTTCGTTCAATCCTGCTTTCATCATATCATCAACATCACCCACTAGCAAACCACCAGATTTTAACGAAACTAACATTGTTTTATTTGCTAAAAGATGCATGTCTGTCCAAGCAACATTAGGTTTTGCGGTATTCATCACAGCATCACGAGCAGCAAGCACTGCATTGTATATCATTTTCTGATCATCAGTAAACTTTCCATTGGCTGGGAAACTGCATGTAATATCAGCTGCATATCCACAGTAATTTCCACCCATGTCGAAGAGACTTTTATAATACAAGAAAGTATTAGTCTTAGTATTATTGAAAACTTATAATGAACTACATAGACATAATAATTGTAATAATTACATTTTAATTAATACAGATAATAAAGAATGAAATTTAATATGTCTATAAGTAGTATAAAATTGGAAAGGGGTATTAAGACTTACCACATATCACCATCTTTTATTATTTTATTATTAGGAGCACCAGCATGTCCATAATGCAATATAGATGCATTATGTCCAGACCCACATATACAAGTATAAGACACGTGTCTACAGCCTCCATTAGAATATACATAATGCATAAAAGCTGCTTCCATTTGAAATTCTGCTAGCCCTGGCTTTATCATATGCATGACAGATTTGTGAGCATCTGAACTTATCTTAATCACATACTCTAGTACCTTAATTTCTTGTGGAGATTTTATAACTCGACTGCAAAAAATATTATATTATTTTCTTAAATTGTTTTAAAAGATTAATTCAACTGTTACCAAATCAAAATAGCAAAAATATATCTCTTTGATTTAAAAAAATCGATATATTTTTATTATTACTTTACAAAATCTTCTTTTGAGAAATATGTTATACATTGTGCAGTACATTTCAATGATTAAATTATGTCCATAATTTCTGCCGAAGAAAATAAGTTATTACTTTTAGTTGTTACAGCCTTCGTATTACAAGGCATCTTCTGCAGAATGTAAACATTCTAACAAATAAGTTGACAATTTATTGGACTGATTCCAGAGTTCTTGCAATGTTATATAGTCCAATATCATAACCCGGAAACCTAATTTTTTTATTTGTCTTTTCCTCATAATTTGAGGCCCTATTACATGACGCGTATTTCTACAATAATATTCAGGTAAATAAATCAAAACTGCAGTATTCACATTTTTTTTCTGCTCCAAATTTAAATGAAATACTGAATTTGACACTACATGCGGATGTATTAAAATATCAAGTACATAAAAATTTATAATTGGTAATTGATTTAGAATCACATTTTTGCTTAATTTTTTATCCCCACCTATCAACGAAGCTAATGGTTCATATATCACATTTATTGATCTTCTAATTCTTGCATCAAGAAATAAGGGTTTTTCTATTTTTCCTACAGGGAAATGCATAGTTTGATAATCCTTGCATTCCAAAAACATAGTGGCATCTAGCAGTTTTAACTTGTTCTTTATATGGTTAAAAGAAACAGTATGACTCTTTAAATAAAATTTATGAAACAATTGTGAAATAAATATTTTATCAAAAAATTTCATTGGGTATCTTTCTAAATAAGTACAAGAAAGAAGAATATCTAAAGCATCGTCTAATTTTAAGTCACGAAACTTGACTGACAATACATCATCAAATGTTTTCCAAAATTCAATTGAATTTGGTAATTTTATGTACAAAAATCCAAATGGTGTAAGAATCGAAGATAATAAAGGAGTTGGTATACTCATTGCATGTTTTAAAAAGTATTTTCCGCATTCTGACATAATATACTCATTCCTGACTTGTAAATTTTTACAATAATTCATAATTGTTGCTATTAACTTCGAGTTTTCAATTTGCAATATTTTAGATTTTAAATAATCTTGTAAACTGTATTCAATTTTATCATCAATATAATCTTTCGCATTTAAACTGCATATAAAATTAATTACATCTCTTTCAGTGGATGTATTCATATTTAACTCTGCCCATTTACTGGCACTAAGTAAACAATTCATTGCAGAAATATCATCATAAAAGCAATTTAGTATTTCCGCAATTTGTGTGCCTGTTAACTTTAACCAATAGGTAGAAAGTTTTCTTTCAAGAATAAGTTTTACCATGCTTTTACTCTGATTAAAATACTTTAATGATTTAAATAGTGCTACTAATGTGTGAGCATTAATATCATCTTGTCGAAGTACAATTCCAACCCATAAAGTATCTATTAATGCGTGATATTTAGTATCTTTAAAACAGGATAAAATTTTTATTAAATTTATTAACTGTGCTGGTGAAAATTCTCCATCTGTCGCTCGGCTTAAAGCTTCATCACATATCCAATCTCTACATATATTTCTAGAAGGACTAACTTTATCCTTTTTTAATACAATAAGTCCTTGAAGTATCGTTTCAGTATCATTGCTGCCAATAATTAATTTAATTAATTGTTTCATCACAATATCTCTAGCAGTGGTATCAGCCTCCATTCGTCTATGTTTTTGCATCTTATTAGATTTCTGCTTAGCCCAATTATTCTCCAATTCTATAATTTTTTTCAAACCTTCTAAAGCTACTCTACAATTTATTTCTTGTGTAATCTTATTTTCCAACATTGAATACAAATTATCAGCTGTATTAAATGATTGTAATTCTTGTAATGCTTTTTCTATGTCCACTTCTTTAAAAGAATTAAAATCAGAGCAAAATAATATTGCAGTTCCTTCATCTGTTTCAATATTTATTCTTCGACCTAACAATTTATTTTTGATTTTAGAATTACTCTGCAACTTTGATTCATTCTTATTATGTATGGTAACTTGATTATTCTTTTTAGGCGCATCAGGGAATTTGTAATCAGTTTTAACAATAGAGGTACTATGTTGATTCTTATCATTACATATTGCTTCGATATTATTAATCTTTCTAACAATTAAAGGAACTTCTTGTATCACCAATCCTTCTTCTACAAAAATACTAGTATGTGTTAGAATTTGTTGTCTGTTATATTCACCAGAATTGGATTCATACCATCGTTTCTTTAGCATAAAAATTAAAGCAGATGGTCGCACATGCATTTGCACTAGACACTTTGTCCAGATATGACCAACTGGTATCATCTAAATATATTTTTAGTTTAAACATCTAATAAAATTAAATGTACTAGTCAATCCATTTTCATTGTTTTAGTTAATGTACCTTTTTTAATTATAATATGAATTAATCAAACAGCGTGGGATAATTTTTATTTTATTTATATTATACCTTTATATGGCTTTGAAACTGTTTTCGGTAATACTATCAATTTAATGATTAAACTTTAATGTTACTCGATCATTATCAAAAAATTTCATACAAAACACTCGTGACAAATGTAAAAAAAATGACCATATATATCGATAACCGTACACATCGATATAACAAATCGTCAATTATACTACTTTTTGATCGATAACACTACTATATTTTTAGTTTTGTACGTAATAGTGAAATTTTATCTATTCAGAGATTAAAAAATGAAGTTGAATAGTTTTGATAAAATAAAATGATTTAAATTGTATCAATTTACATAATATAAAAATTTATTTTATTAACTTTCAACGAACAGAAGCGTTTTACTAATGACTCACAGGTAGGTTGGACTTTTCAGATAATTGCATATTTGACGTTTGACTAAAAAATAAAGCATTTTCAAATCAAATAAAAGCATTTTGTATTTAAAACCCATTTTCATAATTTTAATTGTTTTCCTTAGATTATTTATATTGAATAAACGTTTCTTTTATATTTAAAAGCAATGGATGTGAATCTTAAAACGGATTTTCGTCAGCATCGTTAATTTTGTAGAAACTTAATACTGAAAAAAAGTGTACAGTATAAAGCATTTTTATAGTTGAAAATTTTTAATTGTTCTTCCAGAACCTAAGAGTACTGGCAAGAATCAGTTTTCAATTTTATATTTAGTGCATAAAAATCTATAAGATACATCCATCAGACAATAATGATATAAATACATGTTAAAAGTGTAACGAGATCTTAATTTATTCAGTCACGTTATCTTTTATATAAGACATACCCTACAAGGAATATAGATCTAATAAAGATTAATTATTATTTTAATACTTACCATTCACATATTTCTGGATATAAAATTTTATTGTCCACTTTGAATCTATAAAATATTACAATATAAATAAAGCAGTTCTCATAGTATAAAATGAATTAAAAATAACTAATACTTACTCATTAATACCATCAAACGTTGCCTCTTGTGTTTGTAAACCACTATCACTGTTTTGACCATTCTATATGTATAAATACAAATATACAATACTTAAAACAATACTTCTGTAAAACAGTTTTCTCAGAAAATACATACCAAGGTAAGAAGAAGATGGGCTTGTTTTGTTTTTAAAATTTTGGCTATCTCATCAGTGTAATAAACTTCATCAACTGCATATCGACTTTTAAAATCTTCTAAAGTATGTAACTTTCCCTGCCAAATTGCGTATTCTGCTGGCAACCTTGGTACAAACAAAATTGAAGTTCCTGTTGCTGTCTCAATAGCACCATAACAATCTGGTTCTTCAACACCAAAACACCATTGAAAAAAAGATTCCTATCAAAACAAACATATAAAATATGTTTGTATTTGCTAATGTATTATATTAATAAAAATCTCTATACCTGTCTAAATGGCCAGTTTATGTCTGTATCATTAAACGGAATTTCAACTCCTCCTTGCAGTATAATATAACTTCCTGCAACTTTCCCTTTAATGCACGCAACTAATCGTTTGCGATTATCTTGGAAAAGTGACATAGGTACTTTCAAAGTATGATTACCTCTTTGAAAATAGGATACATTTCTGAAAATATTTGTAAATTAATTGTATATTAACAAAAACTGAAAGCATTAAATTAAAATTTTTTATAATAAATTAATGGAACAGCTAACTTGAGGACACTTTTAAAAATATAAATGCTTATCTGCAAACATACAAAAGAGGAAATTTTAAAAATAAACTTAATTTATTTTTATACAATTTTATTATTCAAAATAATATATACATTGATATTCGATAAGTGTAAAATCTAATAGAAAGTGTAATGTATTGTTTTATTTATTTCATTTTATAAAATTATAACTTGAAACAACATTAAAGAATATAATAATAATACTTAATAACAATAATAATTGTTGTTATAATTATTAAGTAAGAATTCAATATTTTTTAGTGTATAAGCAGTTTATTAACAAATTAATTTGTATTTTAAAAGTTGGTACTTCAAAATAAATTACTTTTATTTCTAAACAAAAACCATTATCTTTTGTTTCCTCTTATCTTTTATACTAACATTATCTCTTATATTAAATAAAAAAAATAATACAAATTTCACAATAATAACTATCTTAAACATGTGAGTCAAAAATATACATACTAGTAACTATGTTTCACGATAGATAAAATAGATAAAATTAAGTGTTACTGCTTGGAAAGAAATATTTCATTTTATTGTTTTATGTGGCATAAATATACTAATAAATGTAGACAAATATTGAGATTTAGCCATGAATAAGTATACATGATAATGGATGCAATACATTAGATTATACTGCATACATTTCATAAACTATGCAGATTTTCACATTTTCTATAAATATGTTGTAGCGCATCAGAGTCTACACATATGTATATTACCTGCTACTGATTGGAAGAAGCTTATAAATTTAAAGAAATAAAATTTTAATATTGGAATACAATATTTAAATATTTACATATGCTGATATGTAGCTCGTCATTTACCAAACATAATAATGATATAGATAAAATATATACTAACAATTAATAATTAATGCTCAGTTATACATATAAAATATTATAATACTTAATTAAATAAAATATTTCCAAATAATAATTAATATTCTTATTATGGCAAAATTGAAATATTGATTCAAAGATACTGTTAATGTACAACTATTAATTATTTAACGCAATCATTTTATGGAGAATACATTTATTATGAATTTATCAATATTAAGAAATTATGAAGAAAGTGAATAATTTACTTAGAATAGATTGTAAGTTGATAATATTAATAATATTGTTGATAATAATTGATAATAAGTAATAAGTAATCAATGAAATATTTAAGAAATTAATGGCAAAAGAATGCTTTTTATTACATGTAATATTTTATACAATACATTATAAGTCTTTAAAATAAATACACATATTTAATATATATTTCATAAAATAAAAGGAAAAACAGCAAAATCCTCTGATAAACCTAAAAACATTCTTCTCACTAACGTCAAAATTTATATAACCTTAAAATTTAACACAAAATAACCCTGTTCAAAAATACTATTTAAATATTGTGCCATATTTATCACATTATAGAAAGTAGTAAAATGTTAGTCAAATGTATATCATTATTAAATATATTATACAATATAATTTTAATGTAGTGCGATATAACAAAGGAAAATGGAGTAAAGAAAGTATTGAACAGCATATTTGAAATTCAACATGCAGTCAGTTTTTGGTTCTATTACAATGACTATCGATTTTATATCGATTAATAGTGAAAAAAAGTGAAGTAAATGAATTCCATACATACAAATGCGTGGCATCCGCCATAATGCTGTCAGTTGACAATTCACTAATAGAAAATTATACAAAAATTTTCTTGTGCCTAGGTCTGACTCTAGATCAGTATTTTCGTAATGTAATCGTTGATTCCTATAGTGTGCAAATAAAGAAAATTTCTTTAATATCTGTAACACCGTCTTTTATAAAAGCACACGTATCACTTCTTTGTTCAATATTGTTTGATGGTATATATAAGAGTGTTATCTTTACAATATGTCATGTGATTAATTCAAAGTAACCAATGACAATTAAGCAACATTTAATAACAATATATATTAGGTTATCGACTTTTTACAATAGTTATATACTTGTAGTATAACAGAATGTATTGCTTATAATAAACTTTATTCCAATTGAGAAAGCATAAAAATTAATTAACATTAAAAGTAGCCGATAATAAACATAAAAGTAGTTATTCCTAATTCTTTTCTCTACGATTGTTATTCAAATATATTTATATGTTCAGAGTATATTAACAATTTACATCACTTTATTTAATAGAGTCCATAGAATAGTTTGACGTTAAAAGAAACTAAATAGTGCAACCATAGTGTAAATACTGTACAAAACATATTAAAAATAAAAAATCTTCAATTTTCTTTTTAAATCGAATGTAAGATGCGGATTGCAAATACACGAGTGGGAGTGACTGTATAAAATCATCATTGTTTATGATTTTAAGCGATGAGTAAAGAATGACACAACAATTTTAATATTCGATCGCTTGATCATTTAGTTTACTACAGTTTAATTAACATATAATTAATGAATTAAAACTCTAATAAAATATAATTTACCATTAAAAATCTCAATTATACTAAAAAAGTATAACAATTCTATTAATTAAATATAAAACTGCGCGATAAAAAAAATCGGCTTTAAAGTTCTCACGTCTAATCTTTCGTTAATCTTTCAATTATTGTTTTACGTAACACGACTTAATACGTATTCCAATCGCTAAGATTCAATAGATATTTCTCGTTCATTTTTACATGTTAAATATGAATGTGCAACCAGTTTTTCGTCAATAATTTCAGTTTTTAAGCATTTTGCTCTAGAATTTATATGTAACGTAAGTCACCTTTTCTATTTTGACAAAAAATGTTATATGTTAATATAAGTGTTATACTTCTTTTAATATTAACATAATTTTTATGTCAGTAATTAATTTACTTAATAAGAACATTATTGTGTATCTTGTATTTACAATTAGTTGTATCGCATATTGTATCTTAATTCAAATAATTGTTCCTATCGATATAATATTTTATAACTCGACAGATATTTTTTACTTATTCCGATAATTTCTAAGATAAAAATTTCTTGAGTAGAAAAAATTCGCATTTTGAGAGAGATTGGCGGTCAATTTGCTCAGTGTGGAGTTGTAACAGCAAAGGCAAAGGTAAAATAAAAAATCATAAGTATTCCAAATAAAAGAATAATTTAAAAACAATCTCTATTTTCATTAAAATTTTGAGCAGCATAACAAAACAATAATAACATTTTTAGCTTTAAATAACAAATACGTGTATTTGAAGCGTGTTTACGCCTGGATTTGTTGGTCTCAATTCAGTTGTTTTTTAATCATTTGCTAAATAAATATATTTCAATTTTTTAAAGAATGAAATAAGCAGTTGATAGAAAACATTTTCGTCATATTATGTTACATAGAACGACATTTACAATTAGCATACTTAAAAGGTATGCTACCCGGCCTAAAATAGTTAAAAATACCATTAGAAATATTCATATGTAATCAAAAAAAATAAAAAATTGTAAAATGCTTATTATATTTTCGAGTATGAAATTTCACTCGTAATAAGATCTCAAATGTAGAGTGTTCCAAACATTCGACCTGGCTCGTACCCGGTTCGGTCCTGAACGGTCCTAGAGGTGAAAGATACAGCGAGAAGGTTAAATCAAAAGTTATACTGTTTTACATGGTTCATATTGTGGATGTGACACATTCTGAAACAAATTATTTTTCTTTAAGATTTATCCTCACAGCCCATACTATTTTGAAGCTTTATCTTTTACGTGTTTGTTACACGTGTACATAGTCTTTGAAAAATTTTTTACAAACATACAAATCGATTAAAATAACTGTTGATACGCAAAATGGAATAGTAATGAGTTTTTGTTCAACTCATGCAAATTATTTATGCTCATTAAAATATATGTATAGATAATTTCTTATATTTCTAAGCATAGGGATTTATTGCAATGTTCATTTCTTATCATCTTTTTGTACAATTTTTATTCTATTCGAAATAAGAATTTAATGTGTATATGTGTATTTTTTAAAATTGTTAAGATATTGTGTAAACAGTAAATAAATAATAAAAAAAGTGGTTAAACAGAACATTGTATGTTATATGCTAAATTACTATTTTGTTGTTTAGTTTATTACATAATTCGGGTTTTAAATTATTAAATTACAAAAAAATTAAGTTTTTAAAGGGTTGCATATAAGTTTATTTATTTATTTATAAGTTTATTTAAGAAATTCATTATTAAATGTCAAATAAATAAACTTATACCTTCGGCTGAAAGTTTCATTGGCCATAAAAATCTATATTCCGTATAGCGACGACTGGTACCGTAGCGGATTTATACCTGCCCGAGCTACCGATACAAACAATAAACATCAACATGGAACAATAAACATCTGATATTGTCCAATTGTTAAAAATATGACAAATTATCGTATAAAAAGGGCTCGTCCTCTTCGAAAACAAATCTCAAATTATTTCTCCGCAAAAAGTAGAAGAAAATTGTATATGTAATAATTATTGCTAAATTGCAATAAACAAAAAATTCCAAAAGCACGTATCCTCTATTTTGATCCATATTTTTAGTATACAAAGCTGCAAAAAAACAAATAATTGTTCCTATCGATATAATATTTTATAACTCGACAGATATTTTTTACTTATTCCGATAATTTCTAAGATAAAAATTTCTTGAGTAGAAAAAATTCGCATTTTGAGAGAGATTGGCGGTCAATTTGCTCAGTGTGGAGTTGTAACAGCAAAGGCAAAGGTAAAATAAAAAATCATAAGTATTCCAAATAAAAGAATAATTTAAAAACAATCTCTATTTTCATTAAAATTTTGAGCAGCATAACAAAACAATAATAACATTTTTAGCTTTAAATAACAAATACGTGTATTTGAAGCGTGTTTACGCCTGGATTTGTTGGTCTCAATTCAGTTGTTTTTTAATCATTTGCTAAATAAATATATTTCAATTTTTTAAAGAATGAAATAAGCAGTTGATAGAAAACATTTTCGTCATATTATGTTACATAGAACGACATTTACAATTAGCATACTTAAAAGGTATGCTACCCGGCCTAAAATAGTTAAAAATACCATTAGAAATATTCATATGTAATCAAAAAAAATAAAAAATTGTAAAATGCTTATTATATTTTCGAGTATGAAATTTCACTCGTAATAAGATCTCAAATGTAGAGTGTTCCAAACATTCGACCTGGCTCGTACCCGGTTCGGTCCTGAACGGTCCTAGAGGTGAAAGATACAGCGAGAAGGTTAAATCAAAAGTTATACTGTTTTACATGGTTCATATTGTGGATGTGACACATTCTGAAACAAATTATTTTTCTTTAAGATTTATCCTCACAGCCCATACTATTTTGAAGCTTTATCTTTTACGTGTTTGTTACACGTGTACATAGTCTTTGAAAAATTTTTTACAAACATACAAATCGATTAAAATAACTGTTGATACGCAAAATGGAATAGTAATGAGTTTTTGTTCAACTCATGCAAATTATTTATGCTCATTAAAATATATGTATAGATAATTTCTTATATTTCTAAGCATAGGGATTTATTGCAATGTTCATTTCTTATCATCTTTTTGTACAATTTTTATTCTATTCGAAATAAGAATTTAATGTGTATATGTGTATTTTTTAAAATTGTTAAGATATTGTGTAAACAGTAAATAAATAATAAAAAAAGTGGTTAAACAGAACATTGTATGTTATATGCTAAATTACTATTTTGTTGTTTAGTTTATTACATAATTCGGGTTTTAAATTATTAAATTACAAAAAAATTAAGTTTTTAAAGGGTTGCATATAAGTTTATTTATTTATTTATAAGTTTATTTAAGAAATTCATTATTAAATGTCAAATAAATAAACTTATACCTTCGGCTGAAAGTTTCATTGGCCATAAAAATCTATATTCCGTATAGCGACGACTGGTACCGTAGCGGATTTATACCTGCCCGAGCTACCGATACAAACAATAAACATCAACATGGAACAATAAACATCTGATATTGTCCAATTGTTAAAAATATGACAAATTATCGTATAAAAAGGGCTCGTCCTCTTCGAAAACAAATCTCAAATTATTTCTCCGCAAAAAGTAGAAGAAAATTGTATATGTAATAATTATTGCTAAATTGCAATAAACAAAAAATTCCAAAAGCACGTATCCTCTATTTTGATCCATATTTTTAGTATACAAAGCTGCAAAAAAATCGAACTGCATTTAGGGTGAAAAATTGAAAAAAAAAGTGCATTTTTTTAATATATTATTTAAATAAATAATTTCTCCCGAAATTTTTGACACTAAGTAAATTCCTGACTAAAAACTACACAATTTAAAAAAAAATTCGCCTTCCTACACCCTCTAGTTTCCGAGATATTAAGGAAAATGTGTTTTCAACCCCGAACTTTGAGGGCTATTTTCACCCCCTCAACATGGATGTCCGCAGATATAAAAAAATACGTGTCAAATGATTTTTAAAAAACTACCACATATGTCAATTTCATTAAAATCGGCGTGTAACACCTTGGTGATGTCCCTTGTTAGTCGCGGCAAAAGTCTCGGTTCGCTGCCGAACACAGTGTATATTTTTCCACCGCTAAAAAAATGCGTGTCTCTTAATATTTCATGTATTATAATATATCCAAGTTTTAGAAAAATTAGAGAGTGATACTTCCGTAGGTTTGTTACAGCTAACAGTTAAAGTTTAAAATAGTCTTTACGTCCTTCACAGATATCATAATTTTTTATGCAAAAAAGATGTCAGAAATTCATTCAATTCGAAGCTAACAGCAACAATTATTGTCATATGTGTTCAGTGTGTACTCAAATCTCAATTTCATTCTCGTTTTAACCATATTATAAGCTCATTCTATCATATTAATAACCATATTATTTTATATTAATAAGTATATA